TACAAGCTAGTTGCAAAGCAATGATGGACACGAGTCAGTGAGGTTTCTGGGCAGCAAAGGTGGCCAGCAGCATCCTCGACTGTATTGGCAGAAGCATGGTCAGTAGATTGAGGGAAGTGATTATTGCCCTTTACTCAGCACTCGTGAAATCACATCTTGAATACTGTGTCCAGTTTTGGTCCTCACAGTACAAGAAAAATATCGACTGAGTTCAACAGAGGGCAACCCAGACAGTTGCAAAATCAAGATAGCAATATCCGAAGATGACAAAAAGTTTAATCAGATGGCATCCATGGGCATGTGAACACTGCCTGGTTGCAGTCCATAGAGCAAATGGTGCCAGACTCTTCTCAGAGATGCCCAATGATAGAATGGGAAGCAATGGACACAAGTGGGAACACAAGAAACTCCACCTAATATTTTTTTTTTTTTTTAACCTTCTGGGTGGTCAACTAGGCTGCCCAGACAGCCCGTGTAATTTCTATCTTTGGATGTATTCAAGACTTGATTGAAGATCTAAAGCAACCCTGTGAGCAGGGGCTTGGACTGTAGGAACTCTGTAGGTCCCTTCTAACCTAAATTATTCCACAATTCTATCCTACTTTAAGCTTTGTATGCTAAAAAGGAAATCTACCATAATTATACACATATGCATAACTGTGTTTGAACAGATGCTAACAGGAAACAAATACAATGAAACCAATATCCAATTCATCACTAATGACTTTTCCTTTAAATAAGACCTCATATTGTAAAAATGGCTTCCTGAAAACAGGTTAAACACATCTTTAAATGTGGTTGAACAGCTTGCCTGTGGAAAGATACACAATCGAGATTATTATCTTAATTAGTAATAATGGGAGTGTCTAAAGGAAAGCCAAGTAAATACACTCATTGCCTTAAGTCACTGTCCTACAAAATTCCATTCATAATCTGAGTTCCAATCTAACTATTCTTTTGTCTCCCAACCATAGTGCTCAAAAGTCCCTTCAAGCCTTAAATTTCCCTAAACCTTTTCACTAAATCTGAACAATGAGTCTGTGTATTCTATATGCTGGATTGTTTTTTCTTTAAAAAGACTAAATGCCTACTAGCAATGCAGAATTTTCAATCAGCTGGACACCTTCAGAAACAAGAATTTTTTGCAACTTTCAGTAGTCCACGGTCAGATCCGTAAAAATTCAAATGCATTTCTATGAGTTCTTTCAATATTTCATCGGCAGTGTCTTTAAAGTGGCACCAACACATGGGAAGACTTGAAGAATTTACCATTCTTGTTCTCTTCCTACTTTTAGGTAACTCTTGAATCCTACAGTTTCTGTTACAGTTTATTTTTCAGTATTGAAATACACTTTTTGACAGATTCTTGTCAAAGATTTTGTTGAGTATGTATCTCAATCTTTTAATTATTCTAGCAGAAAAAAAAGACAATCAATAAAACAAATTTAATTTATGGTCAGTTATCTCAAGAAATTCAAGGCATTCCTTTATCCCCTCTCCTGTTTAGAGAATACCCGTGTGCACCATTTTTACATACTTATGTTTATTATGTGGTTGCTCATTCAAAATATTAAATCTTCAAAAACAGCAAGGAGGTGGATCCAGGGAACCTATTTGATAGTCAGCTTTACTGTAGACCTTGGGAAGGTGACAGAACACATTTTCAGAGAAGCCAATTCCAGGCAGTTGAGGGGCAAAAAAGTTTTTGGGAACAAAAACCACATACTTACCAAAAGGTAAATCATGCCCCACCACAACCTGATTGCCTCCTATGATGAAGCGATTGATTCTGTGGATACAGTACTGAATGTTGTTTGCTTTGACCTTATCAAAGTTTGGATAGTCTTCCACGGTAGACTTTTATTCAACCTCTTGGATCCAAGTGCAAACTGAATGGGTGGACTAGAAGGTGGGTAAAAAACCACACTGGATCACTAAAATCAGACAGTAAAGGCCACTGTTCCAAAGTGCAGCTGAACTCTAGTTATAGAGTGACATTCCTCAAGGTTTGATGACGTTTAATGTCTTTTTTAAAGACCTTGGCAGTAATAAAAAACATACAGTGGTGAGACACTGGAAGACATACAGGGTGCCCAGAGAAGTTGGGGATGCCCCATCACTGGAAGTGTTCAAGGCCAGGCTGGACAAGGCTTTGAGCAACCTGATCTAATGGAAGGTGTCTCTGCCCATGGCAGGGGGGTTGGAACTAGATGATCTTTAAGGTCCCTCCCAATTCTAACCATTCTATGACACCCAAAGAAAGTTCACAGATGACACCAAACTGGGGGAAGTCGTTGATACACTGAGGGGTGGGGCTGCCAGTCAGAGGGACATTGACAAAATGGAGAAATGGTTTAACAGAAACCTCATGAAGGTCAAAGGTAAACGCAAAGTCCTGCACCTGAGAAGGAAAAATCCCAAACCAAATACAGGCTGGAGGCCAACTGCTACATAGCAGCTTTGCAGAAAACGCTCCTGATGGACAACAAACTGAACATGTTACAGCAGCGTGCCCCTGCACTGTTGAAGGCTAAGCACTACTTGGCAGCATTAACAAGAGCATAGCCAGCAGATCAGAGGTGACATTATTTCCTTTTATTACAAGTACTGTCTCTAGCTTTGAGCTCAATAATGAAAGAAAAAAAGATTGAGAAACTCACCTGGGCAGAATATCATCAGGAGGGTTAACAAGTTAAAGCACAAGATTTATGAGTAGAGGGTGAGAGAGCTAGGTTTGTTCAGATGGAAGAAGAGAAATCTAAGTATGGTGGTGGGGTATCACATGACTGTTTCCAGTTAGCTAAAGCAGGGTTATGGAGAACATGAAGTCAGACTGTTCTTAGGGATGTATAGTGAAATGTTGAGAGGCAACGATTAAAAGTTGCATCAAGCAAAATTCTGAATGAATTTAAAGACAAAACCTTGCCAGAATGAGCATAGTTAAGCACAGAACAATTACCCAGAGCAGCAGTGCAACCTCCCTCCTTGGAGACGAAGAAAGATTTGACTGAACAATGCACTGAAAAGCCTAATCTAGCTTTGACATTAGTGTTCTTTTGAGCAAAAGAATGGTCTTCAGATATGTCTTGCAACCTAAATTATGTTTTGATTCTTGCAATGAAATAATTAGCAGGTGTGAAGTATGAATAGCCATATGCAGGCTCCAGACTTCATTCACTGAGATGAAAACAGCAGCATACCAGTACACAATCTGTATTATGTTTCTCTCTGCTGACTAAAGGAGAATCATGAAGATAACGATAAATGTGCATATATTAGAGGGTGGGGTAGCTTCATATAGGCACTTGAGACTACAGAACACTGAAGAAAGAACTGGACAAAAAGTAACCAACTATCGGATCTCACATTCTCAGTATAGCGAATCAAGATATAGTTCTACAGCTTATTAAAGAGAAGACAAACACCACCTTGAATCAGAAATACTCCCATTACTCATTATAGGAGACCTCAGTAACGCAAGGGAGATATCACTGAAGAACAAATAGGTATCTTGGGATGTATTCAAAAAAAACCTTTCTGAAATTATGTAGTAAATTGCTTTTAAGTTTGTACAGTCCACATCATTCATGCAGCACTTCTGCACAGCGCCAACTCAAAATTAATATTCTTGGCACCCATTCAAATATTCTGATTCTATCCATTCCACTGACAATGGGAGAACAGCGCTCCACAGATTATTTATTGAAGATATTCCCATATATATTTATAAATAATGTTCATCTCCAAAAAAGGCCTCGCGTCTGCAAACTATCCAAGGAAAAGAAAGATACACTGCATTTCTTTTCTACGTCTTTCATGTTTCAACATAGTAATGAAACAATGCCCTTATTTCCCTCTATCTTTGGGAAGGGATAAAGGAGGGGGAGGCGGGGAGAAGGAGGGGATAATGCGATGCCTAGATTCACAGGATAGAAACAACTTCTGGGGTTTTGATAGGGTGAGGAGAGAGTTTGGCTGCTCTAGAGCATTCCCTGCTTCCACCCAGATTCACACGCATGCTGCATCTGTGAGATACAGAAAAGGAAGGAGAAAAGTTTCTTCAGCTCTCCCATTAGCTACATTCTTGAAAAGCAAGAGTTGATTGTGCCTTGCTCTTTAACTCTCTCCCTAACTCTTGTTCTTATTTGTGAAGATTTCTCAATTAATCCAACAGCCACTCCAGTGGAATTTGTGCCTTGTCACGTATCTACTTCTACTGTCTTTAAAAGATGCTGTCAGCCTGACTAGATTCCTGGTTTTGAAGATAAGAAAGACATATTTTCTCTTACAGTAATGTTTTAACTTTCTTTTCTCCTAACTTTTTTATATCAGCCCAGAAATTAATAATTTAAACTTAAAGGTCTGTCACAGCTAGTGATTGGCCTTTAATGCAAACTGAGGTAATAATGCAAACTTCCAGAAATAAAGAAAAAATTCAAGGGATAATAGCTGAAGAAAAAAGAAAACATTAGTTGTTGCGAAGACAAAGGACCTTTCACGATGTACCCATCACCATTCTTACTGAAGAAGTATGAGAATACTCAGAGGTGGACTGAATCTGAGGGACCTGAGTGAAGACAGTTAATGCGAGTAGTGGTTACCAGGCACAGTGAAAATTTTAGTTTACTGGCTTTAGGGAAGCACACAGTGTAGTATGTGAACTCAGAAGGAGATGCCAAAGCTCCAATAAAAGTTAAAATTAAAAGCCAAAAACCTCAAAAAACTACTTCAAAATTGATTTCCTTCATTGTTTACATAAGATAATTCGTGTACATAAGATGCTACAGAATCACCTTAGTCTAATTTACTAAATAATGTTCTTGTTAAAATAACACATCTTATTGCTAGAACAAAATTAGAATGCATTTTAAAGCTGACCAAAAAAGCAATAATAATACACATATTTCATTTACCTGTATAATTTTACCTCGATGATGCAAACACCTGATCAGAGTTACTGTACTCTAAAAAACACAGCTACAAGCCAGTGAAAAACCTACCTCAGTGATGCTACTGGAAGGTTCCAGTCCAACCATATTGGCTTGTACAAGCTGCTGAAGAAGTTGTACTTGAGCCACACTGAGGAAGAAATCCAGGTTTGTTGTCACATTCACCTCCAAAGAATGACCACACACCAAAATTTCCTGTGGAGAAATTTAGGGAAAATACAAGGTAACAGCTACTGGGGAAGTAACTTCCAGCTTATATCGAACTGTATTGTGATTCTCTGCTGTAGTCAATGCTTCAACGTTGTATATAGATTAATTAGGTCTTTTTAGGAGAAAGTAGTCTCTCAGCCTTCTAAACAAGGATGTGGCCTATTCTTTGCTTTGCTATCAACAGCATAACTGTTACGACAAATTAAGCAAGAAAAGCATCTCGTGTGTAAGGTCTTGTTTCCATGTCTTGGTAGTATCAAACAGTGGACTGTCAGATTTTGTTTTTTATTTCCTGGCAGTGACTACAATTCTCCTTTCTTTCCAAGAAAAGGATGTACTTTTTTTTTTTTAAAAAAAAAGGTAAACTCTCCTTGATTTATAATGAAATCATGTGTTGGGACTCACTGATAACCAATCTAAATGATTTCTCTTTGCCTATAAACCATTGTTAATACCTTGGCAAAGCCAGCTGGATGGCCACTGTTTTACTGGTGTTATGTAGCACAAAAAACCCTCTTCACTGTTGGCAAGTGATAAAGAGATGAAAAACAGAACCAATGCAGAATGGTTGCTTAATAAGTAGAAGTACTGCCCCTTCTCACGAGAAGGTTGCACAATGTTCAAGCTCTTCACAATCTAAACTAGACGTCTCTCTTCATCAGTGACTAGATAACAAGAAGACTGTGTGCACAGAAAACACTGAAATTCTTGAACATGAGCATTAGTAAAGCTCAGCGATTTCTTTTTGAGTAACTTCTATGCATCCTAGCCACGCCCTAAGCTTTCTACTTTTTCACATTAAATAATTTTCCATCTGCCTTTGTGATGACACTTTACACAAAATATGAAGTTGTCAATTTTTTCTTTCTATATCCGTTAGCTATTATTTCGCAGCAACGTACACTTAATGCACATTGCAATACACACCTCATACCCTTTATACTCTTGTACAGTTTTGCTCTGCCCAGGAGGTAGCTGTTATGAGAAATATTCCTTGTGAGCTGACAAAAACTTTCCGATATTTCCCCTACATAAAATGTTTTAAATTCTTGAGCTACAAACTAATGCCAAAAAGGGAGACAATGCCTTTTGTGTAACATTCTTCACAGACTAATCATTAACAAGCTGACACACAGACTGGTAAAAGTGATCACAATCTGTAATACCTTGAAGTACCCACAATAATGGTTGGGGAGTGGATGCTTTGTGGAAATTTGTGGGCTTGAAAATCTGACTAAAAGAACTCAGCTCAACTTTCTTCTTATAGATAGTGTATAAATTGCATTTTCAGGCTTCTTTATGAGAAGCTTGTGAATACAATGTTTCGTAATGTTGTACTATGGCACCTCTTCTCAACACCTTTCCATCACAAATGTTTTTAAAATATTGCTGGAAATCATTAAAGGGATTCCTATTTTCTGAATTGCAAACAGGCTCATCTACCTCTGGACAGGCTGCCTTTAATATTGAATGCTATACACAAATTCTTTCTCCAGCAGAGAAAGAGCATTTCAGCTGGTGATTAAGACTTCTTTTTTTTTTTTTTTTTTGTAGTTGGCGATCTCTGTATTTGAAAACACCTGGACACTTAAAATGGTGGAATAGTAAAATATTAAGATTATCAACACATTAAAAGTCATGCTATTTCTGTTCACATTTTGTACTAACCTCTGGGTGCAAATTCTCTGCAGCATCAATTTTTGTAAAAATAATTGCAGGAGCTGCAGTTATTCGAACTGTGAAATCTGTTAAAATTGGAGTTAAAATTGCTCTCCTCTCCTGATGACGCCTTATGCTAAAAAACAAACAAAAAAACTCCAAAGATTAAATCACATCATAAATTGTTGGGTGGCAAACCCTCATATTCTTCTTTACATCCAGCACGTAGCACAAAACTGCTTCAATACCAGTTTGGCATTTGATTGTTACCTCAATAAGCATTAAATATCATCATTACACATCATGTTATTTCCAGTCCTAAAGGCAGACTTCTCCCTTCATTTCACAGAAAAAATATGTCTAAATATTTAACTCTTCAATCCATCTTCAGGCAGACAAATCTGATGTTTCACATTGCTTCTACTGTTTATGAACTATACAAAACCATTTGAACAAAGATACAAACTTTATTACCAATATTTTTCAAACTTGCCTGTGGATGCCCTTCACTTTATGAATAGCTGTCCTAAAGTCTGCATCATATGTGAATTCATACATTAAAACTCTGTGGTGAAAAAATTCTGCATACAATATAACTGACACAAAAATCAGAGACACGAAAAATTAAACTAGCAAACCCCATGAAACTCCAGTGCTTGCACATTAAATTGGTAATAACTGTTGCCGATGATGTTTAAAATGCCTTGAAAATGGGCGGGTGTCAGACTTCCTCCACTCCTTCTGTCACTGGTTGCTCTTAGTTGGTACCTTTTAATCTAAATATCAACATTTGCTTGCCAAGAATATTTGTGCCATTAAGCTTGAAAATTACATTTGTTTTCCAGCTGGGTGTTTATTTTATTTTATTTTTTCCTTTAACCAAATACTGAGCCTAGAGGCACAACCCTGTTATATTTGGATCACTAATAGCTTATGACAACACATTCCAAATAGCCAGAATCTTCTGGGTCAGGTCAAATAAACTATTGCCACAAAATACCATCAGAGAGCCTCTGATCAGTTAAAAAAAAAAGTAATGAGATCAAGATGGTGCTCAGCCCCTAAAAGAGGATACAGTTCAAATTCCTGGGAGAGCCCTTCCATCAAGGTATTTTTTGATAATTCTTTTTATCTGTCATCATCTATAGGAATTTCACCAAGAACTTATTTGGTGAAGGTAAGTTTTCCTGTGCTTACAAAATAGGAAATTATCAACTATGCAAGTTAAAAGTATACGCTAAATTATGCAACTGTGTATCATGATATGAAAGAAAAGACTGAACTACATGACCATATAGAAGAGAATAGATCTATGCAGGACTCTTCAGATACCTCTGCATGTCAGTTAGGTATCTGCAGGGGGCCTACAAGAAAGCGGGAGAGGGACTTTTTACAAGGACATATAGTGATAGGACAAGGGGTAATGGCTTCAAACAGGTAGATTTGGATTAGATATAAAGGAAGAAATTTTTCACTATGAGGGTGGTGAGCCACTGGAACTGGCTGCCCAGAGAAGTTGTGGATGCCCCACCTCTGGAGGTGTTCAAGGCCAGGTTGGACAAGGCTTTGAGCAACCCGGTCTAATGGAAGGTGTCCCTGCCCATGGCAGGGGGGTTGGATCTAGACGATCTTTAGAGGTCTCTTCCCACTCAAACCCTTCTATGATTCTATGATCTTGCCATCTCCAGTAATTGAGACACAGCACTGCAGACATCAGCATAAATCGCACAAGTGAGCCAGACACGTGAACTATGCAATTAGACAATTAGTCCTTACCATCAGCTAGAGTTATCCATGTTAACATCATTAAACAACATGGGTTTATGCCTGCCTGTGCAGAAATCTCTGGATTTCATAGGAATAGTAATTAAATTTCTTGATTAAGAACAGGTAAGAAAAAAGAAATTAAATAGGTATCATACTTGATTGTAATTCAGTCAAGTTCGAAAGATTCAAAATCCATAAATGGCAATTTACTGCTCAGACTATTTTGATTTTGATGCTTCAGATTCTACTAACAATTTGCTAAGTGTCCTCAAAACATGTAGAAAGCATGGTGATCTATAAGGGAGTATAAACTGTCAGATGTGGGTACGCCTTAAAGCTTTTAAACTTATTTAGGACAACAGTATACAGAAGTTAACAGCAGATGCTACAGACCACAGAGCTAGTAGTTACTAAGCACAAGCCTAATAAACTTTTGCTTCAAATGACCTTCACAAACACTGCTGAGCAGGCTGCACACCGCTGTAAGTAGTATGCAGTATGCTTAAGAGCAAGCCAATTATTGAGTGTGAGAAAACTACCATCTTACATCAAAAGCTTTAACATTTTGGTCAGCTGTAGCTATGCTGGTCTGTAATGATGTTTTTAAAGCAACATTAGTCTAATTAGATCTCAAAATTAGAAAGCAGACCTGTTAGCGGTTAGTGGTTTCTCAGTCTTCAACTGAGAAAATGGTCTTAGATTTTGCCAGTTCTACAAATGCTTCTCTCCCTGCCATCACCTTCATTTTAAATTTAAAGCAGATGGCTTTCTACCCAATTTCTATTCCCCTTCACAATAGGATGAGAAAGAAATGCCTTTGTTTTTGAGGAATATGGAAGAGCTAAATAGTAGAACAATTCTATGAGAGAACACACAGCTATACATTAGAAAACTTCCACTTGAAGGGGCATAAAACTGCCAGTAAGCAGGATTTCAATATATGAAACAGAGCTGCAAAGGCAAGTTATTTGTTGAACCCCCCAAAACCACAACTGGTTCTCTTCAGTCTTTATTCAAATTATTTTTCAGCTCACACATATTCCCATTTCTTCACTTTCAACTGTCATTCCAGTAGATACCCAGTACACTGCATCTTAAAGTACTTCTTTTGGTAATACAGATTGATTGCTGATTTCTTTATTTTATTTTAAAATCATCTTACATGGTATCTTTGTCCTGCTCTACTGACTTTCTGCATTTCCAGTTGGTGAATTTGAACCTCGGCCAAATCAAGTATTAGCAAAATAATTGTAAGTACAAACAGAAGGCAAACAGAGCTCAGTAAATAATGACGGGAGAGGATATGAGAAAGAGCACAAAAGGAACAAAGAAACAAATTCCACTTTGAATTATTAAGTCTTCCACACTGCACCTAAGTGCACCGTTAACTTAACACAGGTGCACGCCACATGAGCTTATGAAAAAACTTGATTGTGAAGAGCGTAATGATGGCTCTATGTCTGCAGCACATTCATTCCATGGTTCATTTATGCATCTGTTATATATTTGTCTTGGAAAAAAAAGGAAAAGCTAGTACTTTTAGAGATGTTAAAGCAGTTGATCATCTACACTTAAAAGTACAGCACATTTGAAAGACCATATGCTAACGCAAAGCAACAAGGCAGCAAAGCATTTGTGATAAGGCCTGGAGGTCCCTTTTACTTAGTGCTGACTTTGCGCTGTATCCGCACGATAACATGAACTCTGGTTATGGACCACAGACCCACTGGACAAAAATGGTCTCTGTCCTCAAAGCCTTTCCATTTAAGTTTAAGAAAAAACACACCCACACGCAAAAAGGGAAGTAAAAGGGAACAACTAACAGCACTATAGGTAATGATATCATATAGTGGCAACCTGAAAGCTGTCTTAGGAGTTTTTATATCACAGTATAATAGAAAAGCATTTTTGGGGAAGGATTTGGAAAAAGACACTGCAATAACTTTGTGAATGTTCACAGGAAATGCCTTTGTAACATATAGGTTAGCCTAGGAGCAAGCAAGAAAGTGCTTCTTCAAAAATTCTATTTGGCAGCCCTGGTAACTGGTACGATAGGGTCTGATGAGCAGTGAGTGTGGATGTGTCAAAGCAAATGAAAGAAGGCATGTAAAAGGAAACGGATAGACACAGAAGTCTAGAAGTACCTTGAAAGCAAAGAAATATCTAATGATTAATATGACAAAAATGTTCTGGGAAGAAAAGAGAAAAAAATGTGAAGAACAGAATTTTGAAATCAAAACAACAATATTTCATTACATCAAATCAAATCATCAGTATTTGATTACATCCACTCAGAAACACATTGCATTTATATGAGGAGGAAGGACTGCCAAAGAGATGATGTTGCACTAATCAAGGAGGTGCGAAGATGTGAGACTGGATAAGCTGTGAAAATGCAGAAAAAGGACTATAACTTGGACACCTGATGTGGAAAAAACTAAATGAAACAAACAGAAAATACTGGCCAGTTAATAGCTAACAATAACCCAGATGTGAAACTCAGAAATGTTTGCCTTGTTCTTAATTATAATTTTTTTCTTAATAATACTAAATCTAGAGTTTGAGCCCTTATATACTTAAAAAATACATAGGTCAGGGAGAAACTCATACACATTCAATACATGAGTGACAATCAAGACCTCATTTATGCTAAGTAAGTTTACTATCTACAGAGAGATGAATCCTCGCAAAGAATTCTGCAACTTGAAAACCCAAGTATTAGCATGGAATAGGCCACAATCAAATAGCGTTCTCCAGTAGTGAGGTATGCAAAACCAAAGATATTACGTTGGTTAGCATCCTAACTTAGGACCTATGAAAGATTTTTCTCTTGCAGCTTTCTCATGTAGTTGTATAAACCGGTTAATCCCTGATTCACAAATGTACTAGGATATCTAACTACTAATGACATCACCGTGTCGCAGACCTCCATCTCCCAGTGGGCAGAACAGTTCACATCCTTTCAGCTCTCTGAGGTGTTGCAAAGACACATCACGAGACAGTGAATTAGCATAGCAACACTTTGAGGACTATCTAAAGACCAAAATTAGACAATGAACAAATGTGCACCATCTAGCTGTACAGAATGACTATTGTACAATTATGCCTCAGTAAAGCTAATTTTCATCTTAAGAATGCTGTGCAACATTTCTTTGCTGTGGATTAATGCAGAAAATAACATACTCCATCTTATTGAGTAAGGTTTTGTACAGTATAAATACAAGCATAATTTCAGGTCCAATAAACACAGTGACTGAAATACAGGACTGAATACAAATGTACTGCATTTTATCGCAAAAGATTCACAGGGAATGCCCCTACTACCCTACACATGGACCTACTGATCACTTTTTTCTGGTCTTCCTGTTAGAACTTGGCAAGCTGCACTTCAACTGTCCAAAAAAGCATGAAAATGAAAACTATTCAAAGAAAAATCTGCAGGAAACCTTTCTGAGGATCCTTGCAAAGCAGGAGCGGTATTTTGTTCAGTTTTGTACAACAGATCATTGGCTCCCTGACGTACTCAATGAGAGTTGCAGAGAGCTGTTCCAGATGGTGGTATGCCAAGGACAAAACTGTAATGCAGTATATTGCCACACTCAATTCATTACCACACAGAGAAGTAATGCTTTTAAGCTCAATTAATTTTTTTTTTTTAAGCAGAGTTTATTCAGGCTGCAGGAAGCAGAAGTTGCTGCTGGGAGCTGTAGAAGGACTGCACAGGGACGGGGGCGAGGCCTCAAGAGAGGATATATTTCTTTATTTCCTTCAGGGCTGTTTTTTTTTCCATTGAGAGGAGGGAGAGGGAGGAGGAGATCTGCAAGCTGAAAAAGCAGTTTTCAATCAAGAAAACTTCTTTCGCTTAAGTACTCCCAGTTCCCCACATGCTGTTTGGTAAAGGGAATAAATGTGGACAGGTTTCATTTGTACATAACCTTATTAGAACTGTCTGACTGTTTCCAGTATTCTTTTTATATATTACACCATTAGGGACTTTTTTATAACATCTACAGTGAAGTATAAACATTTCATAATGGGAAGAGTTATGATCCCTGATCCTCAGTACAGCACAGCATTTGGACGTTGTTTTCTGAGAGGGAGCATCCACACTACCAGAATGCTCCAGTTCGCCCATTCTTCTTGGGGTGAACTGTGGACGTACAGGAGGCATCACACCAGCACTTCACAACAGCCCCTCTTGGAGAATTTTACACTAAGCACCTTGAAATATTCAAGATTTAGTGGCAAAGCAAGATTGTTTGCTTTCCAATTTACAATGTAAATGTTTTAAAAAAATTCAAACCCAGAAGACATTAAGTACTAGAAGTATTGAACTCCAGAAAAAGCGGTGCGAAAATCTGAAGGATTTACTTTCTGTGTAAAGATTGTTAAAGGATTTAAATAATAAATTATGTCAAAAGCTTTCAAATATTTGTTTGTATGATATGCATAGATCTCATATTTGGAGTGATTTGTTTTTCATGCAAATTTTTAAAACAAGACAAAATTTCAACCCAGTAGACTAAATTATAATATAATCTATTTCAGAATTTTTACAACTATTTAATTTATTTCTTTTTAAATAAAGTGATGCTTTTAGAAATGGGAACGGAAAATGAATGACTGGTATCTACGCTGAGGTATTCTATAAAGTAACTGTATGAAATACTTGGATATAGGTTGGATTCTATACTGCACCACATAGCACCTAAGAATTAAAAAATGAGGGAAATAGATCTCAAAAAATAATCTTAAAACCCAGTGAACCTACTAAACCAGAACACTGGGTCTAACCAATAAGTAAAACCAAATAGAAGTATATTAAAACCAAACAAAGAAATGAACCCTAAAATAACTGAGTAAAAATAATTCATTATGTTCCAGGTTAAACATGTCTAAGAAACTTGAAGAATTAAAAAAGAAAACAGTATCTCAAACAGGTCAAAGAATAAAGCTTCTGTGGTAGTTGCAGGAAATCTTAAGATAAACTTCACCCTGAAAACACTAAGCAACATGTAAAACACCATGCAGCCACCCTCTTGGTGCATGCTGGAAATATCTCAGTGGATGGCAGAGTTCAGTGCAGGTTCCTCCAGTTCTCAACACAACACTTCCACAGATCATAAAATAAACCCAGATGCAGCAAAACTGACTGCCAACTAAAAAGCAAAAATGCGAACATCCTGAAAAAGAACTGTAGTAAATGTGTAAAATTCTAAGCCAAAAGCACAAGAAAACACTCATACCAACTTTTTCTTTAAACAAATTCAAGCTGGAATTAAAATACTATTGTATAACAGAAAGAAAAAGCTAATTTATTTAATTACAACTGATCTAAATTAAAACCCAAGTAGAAGATTCATTCAAAAGCAATTTCAAAACCAACATACTTGTCAAATATATTCTAATAAAATTTGATTTTGGAAGTCTGCTGAGGAAAAGAAGAATGTCCAAGTAGTTATAAAAGAAAGAGAACTCACATTACCTGCAATAGCTGCTTCTCTTATCTTGATAGCTTTTCAGGAATCCCACCAAATTTCCTACCCAAATCTATAACCATAAAGATCAGACCAAAGTGTGCTGGCAATATGATTTCAGTCACCACTGGGAAGGAAAGGAAAACCAATTCCTCAGGGGCTGGTTGTGCTATGTTAGCTTAACTGGCGAATTGGCCAGAAGTCTTTTGGAGATTAACGTCACCTTATCTTTCAAGAAATGCCAGTGGTCCTGTGTTGTTTTGTGGAAAGAACTTCATGGACAACTTGCCCAACATCAAGGCCTAATTAGAAGTCCATACACATTTTTTCAAGGCTACGAATTTAAAAGAAAAATTGTCTATGGAATTATATTAGTTTAAAAAAAAATCGTCAAAAGACAGGAAAGAACCAGGTGATCTTATAAATGAAGAACATTACTGTGTTTAAATTTTTATCTGTATTCCTGTCACTCCTTATGGTTTTATCATTACTTTGGCTAGATCTGCTTTTCCTGCCCTCTATTTTTCAATGATAAACTGGAATTTATTCTTGATTGCATCTTTTTCCTGCACGCACTCCTCCAGAGTGAGCTTATTTGCTCTCTTGGTTTTTCATCAATTCATTACATAGGAAGCTCAGTCTGTGTGCCATCCTCGCATAGCTTCTTTTGCTACAGCTTGCCTCACTTTCAGAAAAATCTCTGAGAGTCCTCTCATCTTCACTTTTTTTGAAAATCAAACCAGCAATAGTTCAATTTGTCTTTCCTTATGATCCTGCCTGTTTTCCTGTATCACTTTTAGGAACTCATCCCGCAATTCAGATAGGAATCTTAGGAACTACAAAATTATGCATGCATTTCATAAAAATTGGATTGTTTTTGCATGAATTAGATACAAAGGACTTTTAAATGATAATAAATAAAGAAATATGTGGGCAAATAGGCATCTTCTAACAGAAATGTGTGTAAATCCACAAAATGACTTTTCAAAGCTTGCTTTTGGCCATCAGACCTTATTCTTGTTACTTTGAAAAGAGAACTCTGGCTGCTAGGCAGTCTATAAAAAATCAGTTTTAAACCACCTGTATGAATTTTTAAGTATAGAGAAGTATATTAAAACTAAAATAAAATTTTCAAATTTTCACAAATTACCAATTAATCCCCCCATTTTATATTTGAAAACTTTAAAATTTAAAATACCATGTAAGTGTATGCATGCTTTATCTTTCAACCCTGGTTAACTAGAGGGCGGGGCTTTGTCTGCACGTATCATACAATACACAATAAGGGAGACTCAGTTGAAGTATCTCATACTCAAAATTCATCTGGTTTTAGTTACAGAAGTGCAAAAAACAGTTCAGAACCAATAGGAAATGCTCTGCTTTATCCTTCTCTAACTTAGAAATGTCTAAGCTGGTTTTACTCAAGCTTTGTAAAAATACAAACAAAAGAAGTTTAAAAAAAAAAAACAAACAAAAAAAAGAAAACCCCAAACCTCCCATTGCTTGTAGACTGAGAAGTTGAAGTCTGAGGCCTGGAGTTATTTTTATGGACATACAGTAAGCCACTCAGAAGAGAGCTTATAATGGAACCAAAGGCACACAATAACTAGACAGTAATTACAGTGTAACAATAATAGTAATATGCATTTCAAATGTATAATCCAAAACTCCATGTAAATATCCTTGTAATGTAAAGCAAAAACAACACAGAATTATTTGATTCTGATACACTGCAAATGATATCTGCAGTGTTTGTGCTATGTAATTCTAGAAAATAAGTTAAAAAAAACTTCCTACCTACTGGCCATGTTCCATTCAAGTGCTGGATTTTGAGAATTTCTTTCACTCTCTGTTAAAACCCCTCCTTTTCCATTTTCCTTCTCTGGTTTCAACTGATTCCAATGAGCAGTACCAATGTTTATAGATTGAAGATCTACTTGATATTGTCTGTCTTCAACCTCTGATCCAGGGTCTCTTAGTATTCCAAGATTCAGTGCTCTCCTGCAATGCCAAAGGAAAAATTAAAAGAAAAAAAAGAAAAGAAAATAATCAAAGGTCAAAATCAGACCGATCAGATATTAATTAAGATACAAAATTAAGGTATCAATTTTTGCCATTCTTGACTACATCTAAGCATTATTGTAGGTCCAGATCTCAGATCCACCAAAATCTACACAAGATCGATCCACTGATTTCACTGCACTTTCAATAAGCTCCATATGAGCAACCTTATGGGGAAGCAAGACTAACTCATATCTACTAAACAGATAAAAGATGTCACATTCAAGTCCTCAAAAACAACAGCTATGTATCAGTATTATGAACAACTGTATTCTGAGACAATTGTTCCACCGTTCAAACTTAAAGAATAAATATTAGAAAGAACATTCCAGGATGATGGAAAAAACAATCTTTTTAACATGGAATTTCACTACAGTGCTTTGTTATTAAAATTCTTCTGACAAAAGAGAAAAAAACATTTTTGAGTGAGCCACATTGCTTGTGGATTCTCCTAAATTCTACCACACTAGATTTTACAGAGTATTTCAATCTTGAGCTGAGCTTGGGAAACAGTCACACCCAACTTCGACAGAACATTCAAGAGCTACTGGATGAGGGGAGGCTGCTAAGACCATTCGGTTTTACCAGTGACCAGTATCAGAGGAGCTTCCTACTACCATTTGTCTTCTGCTAATAAGCACTAGTAAATCTTCCAAAAAATTATCTTGCCCTTTCAACACTAGGAACAATACAGCTTTACGCGCACTGCTTATTTGATACTATAATAAAAATGCACAATTGAACTTATCACTGTTTTTCAAAGCAAGCCAGTAAAGGTAGCAAGGGCATCTTAAATTTTTTTGCTTTGAATCCATGATCATGTCAAGTTGTAGTCTATTTTTATTGTTTTCATACATCTGAGCTGAAGCTTAAGCTTCTTATTTGCATATGCCATCCAATCTACACTTCCGTTCTAGGTTGTTGTCATTTAGTATATAACCGCTGTCTCCACAGAGAACTTAATAATTCTGCAATTTGTTTAATCATGATGCTAACAATCTAAAAATAAATAAGGATTAAAGCAGCACATCTCAACCTATGGTACACTGCATGCAATCTAAGTACAGGTGTGCAATCTATAGCTATGCAACCTATTTCAAAGTGCAATCCCAAGGCTGCCCAAATCCAAACACAGTTGAAATTGCTAATACCGTTGCCATTGTCACAAATAGAGTATGTTAGCAATCAAGAAAATTAAGTAATTAATTGTATCTACCCACAGAGGCATGTGAAAGGCAGGAAAGCCGTTTTTATCAAGTCATTCCTGGTGAGACAGTGTGATGGCATTGTTCAGTAGCCCTATAACTTTCTTAAATGCTTAGCAGAAATACACTGAAAATCTGTTATGTCAGTAGTGGTATTTCAAAATTAAATGCGGTTCCTTAAAACTCAAGAATGTGTTTGTCAACTTTCCACATAGAGAGATCTAACCACAACAGTTGTGTCTTTTATCAGAATCACAGAATAGTTTGGGTTGGACGGAATCTTTAAAGGTCATGTAGTCCAACCTCTCTTGCAATGAGCAGGGTCATCTTCAACTAGATCAGGTTGCTCAGAGTCCCGTCCAACCTGACCTTGAGCGTTTCCAAGGATGGGGCACCTACCACCTCTCTGGGTAACCTGTGCCAGTGTCTCACCACCCTCACTGTAAAAAAAATTCTTCCTTATATCTAATCTAAGTCTTCCCTCTTTTAGTTTAAAGCCATTACCCTTTGTCCTATTGCAACAGGCCCTGCTAAAACATTTGTCCCCATCTTTCTTATAAGCCCCCTTTAAGTACTGAAAGGCTGCAATAAGGTCTTCCTCCAGAGCCTCATACCTGTTGTACAGAGGCACCTGGGAAGGTGGGGTGGGCAAGGAGGGGGTTCGCCTGCCACCCTGAGTCTCATCATGCCTCCATTCACTCCTCTCCTTTAATTTACTGCCTTCAGCCTGGTGGGGGAGAGATACAGGATCCCCTTGATCCTGTTTTTTTTCTGGTGGCTGTTCCCATTTCTGTCTCAGTCAGGGCAGAGCATGGTTCCACCAGTCTTTCTCTTTCTCAGGCTCCCTGATGCTCCTTAACATTTCTACTTCCTCTCCTAGCTCTGCCACCAGGCTGGGCAAATCGTCCACCTGGTCACAACTCACACAGCTGTTCTCACTACTGCCATCCCTTACTAGCAAAAGGCTCTGGCACTCCCTGCAGTCCAAGACCTGGACAGCTGCATGTTTTCATGTAGCTCTGCCTGGGATGCGATATCCATTCTGCTGAGTGCAGAGGACATGGCTTTCCACCAGGTGGATACCACAGTTAAGCTCCTTCTGAGAAGGTGATGACCATCAATTGAACTAATCTCTTGAGCTGGGAGGGTCACTATGCCCTTCCTACAGGCCTTTCCACTGAACTGCCACACAAACTACTTCGCCAAGCCATGCCCTGTTGGCAGCACTCCCCAAGTCTCTTGTGCTCCCCAGGCTACTGTTCATACGCATGGGGGAGGTCGTGGCTGCTCCGGCAATGCCCAGGCCTCCTCAGCGTCTCCTGTGAGAGCTGCTGGCTCCTGGCGGGTCTCTCCGCTGTCCCGGCGTTTCCCTGCCTCAGGAAAAGCCTCTGTACACCGAGATCTGTCACTCTGTGGCTGGCTGGGCCAGCTCCAGAGCAGCTCCCCGGGCAGCTGACAGCTAGTTTCCCTTACCCAGTGTTTAAATCTCAAATGTAGGAGATTTATTATTCTTTCTAGGCACTATTTCATCAATATGTAAGCAGTTCTGTTTTGTTTGGTGTTTTTTTTCTTTAAAAAAAAAAACCATGGTAGACTCATTGTATGAGCCAGTGTCTATTTACATACTTTGTCTAATGCAAGTAAATATTGGTATATATGTTTTGTGAAATATTACTGAAAATAAAGCACCAAGTTACATATCTTATGAAATCTGCTTAAGGATATAAAATACATAACATGATACTAATTTCACCTGCTGTCGTGGTTAGAGAATTCTTCTCTCCTGTACTTCATAGTAAAAAATATTTTTCATTTGTTCTTTTATGAGCAGCATTAAGCTGCACCTAGCACTGTATTCCTTAGACTTGTTCAGCACAACCATGACCTTGTGAACCAAATTCCTAGAGGAAAATATGGCTGTATGTGCCAATCTGAAACTCAGTGACAATGGTTTTCTCCCCCTCATAAATTTACTTATTTAAATATAAGCCCCAATGAAATCACTCTTCGGTGCACATTTTTAGGTGCAGCAAAATACACAGAGGTACTATCCAGACACAAGGTACTAGTGCATTGCATTGCTGGTATACGATTTGTCCATTGGATCTTTTTTTTATTTGATCCAATTAATTTTGTAAAATTTCAAGGACTGGATAATATTTGTACTGCTTTAGGATATCACAGGCTAATACTTTCACACTGATATGAAACGTGCATTTTAATTCTGTTCCTAATATTAACAATCTCCTATATATAATACAAAACTATTCCTCTGATCCTTTAGATGCGCCTTTGAAATCTAAGCAAACAAATTGTGTTTCTATAGATTACCCATTTCAAGAAAAACTTATTTTACACATACATGTAAAATACGAGGACTAGCTATTAATGGCTTGATGTTTCAACTAAGCTGGTTATTGCTTTCAGAAAGTACATCCTGCCAGTTTTACACAAGGATCAAAATATAGCCTTTTCCCAAATAAATTATACACATACAGATATTTACACAAGCACTCACTTCTGGTTTTCCATGTCAACCATTTTCCTACTTCACTATCCCATCTGAACCTTTTGGCAGGTGGTGTAGAATACAACAGTTGGTCAATAATACAGTAAGATCATAAGCAACCAAAGACGACCATAAGCATGTAACAGGAAACACAGCTTTAATGTTTTTCTTTTTAAAATTGATTTAGTCTGGGTCAAGCTTTTTGTATGTTTATATAAGAAACAGCTCATGTTGAACCAGTTACGACATGCTGCTGAATAGGCATAATTCTGAGACCCACTGTAAAGAAGTTAAATCTATTCACTTATAGCTCATCTGAGACCTACAAAAAGCTAAAGAAGCCAGGAAAATGGCATTTAAAGACTATAAATTATGTAATGATTATGAAATATTCACAGACTTTACACACAACAGCTAATTTTTGTTAGCACTTACTAGATCTCTGTGTGCACTGACTTCTGCTTCCAGGTACAGAGCTGTTAAAACTATTTATCTAAATTTCAATTATTAAAGGTTTTGTCTGGTGGTAAAAGATTCTTCCTATTCTAATTTAAAAAGGAAACAGACAGTAAGCTTGGATGAATATACACCTTTTACTTTACAGGGGCAAAACCAGTGGCACCCTGTTGGACCTGGATACAGATGCTATGCAAGAGGACTGCTTCCTCTTCTGCTTAAGCTTGTGGAGTCCGAACCCAAAAATGTAGTCTGAAAGCCCATCACCTACGAATGAGACGTGACTGAACTAATGTAGAGATCACAGCAATATTTATCACTGACCTAATGCTCCTTAACTGCCTTTTTCCCAATTCTATTAAATAAATTTTCTTAACTTATTCTCCTCAACCAGGCCATCAGATGTGTTATACCAAACATGGGAAATTGAAATGGCCATTTCTTAGGGAAGCAAGGGACCACAGCTCCATTGGGTGTGAGGTGCCTAAGAAGGACACAGAACAAAAATGTGGTAAAGTTAGAGCATCTATGATAATAGAACTGGCCTTTGAAAATTCTGACCTTCTATTAGTAAAACCCCAGACAGGAATAAGCTTTCCAAAGAAAGGTAACTATTTTTTTTTTCATTTTCTTTTTTCTTTTTTTTTCTTTCTTTTAAATTACAGCAAGTAGATGCCTCTGTCACGGGAAAGAATCTAAAGCTTGAGCCACTGGGAGAGAAACAGAACTTCCCCAACATCACAGAAGATAGATAGACATGATCTTTGAAC